AAAAAAAAATTAAAAATACAGCCAGGTGTGGTGGCTCATACCTGTAATCCTAGCACTTGGGAGACTGAGGCAGGAAGATTACTGTAAATTCTAGGGCAGCCTGGGCTACGGAGTGACTCAGTCTCAAAAACAAAAACCTCCAAAGTAAACATTCTTTGATGCTTGGATTGATAAGGGTGTAGATACTCACAAAATACCTGTATTTACCTTCCTTTTTTTTTTAAAAAAAAAAATTCATAAATAGTAAAAACAAAACAACCCATAATTTCTGTCACCATAGGCTTATTAACTGTCTCTGTATAATAACTGAGGGTTTTAATTTTAGAAACAGAATAATGATGTCAGTTCAAGTAGTCAAAGACATTTTGTGGAGACTAGAAGTGGGAATGATCGTATTTTATAGGTCATCCCAGGAGAGGGCCCGCGTTTGCAGGAACCAATGTGCAAGTCCCTCCCACGTGTGGAATAGCTTGTTGTTAAACTGTGTGCTAGGCAACAGCCTTGCTACCTCTTCTGTTGAGAATGGAGAGTTTGCTTTTTCACTGTATTTTTATAAACATTTCAGGTTAAAAGACTTGAGATGAAGAAGACCGATCTGTGTTCGAGCACGGAAGGGACTGAGGTGATTCTGGCGACCTCGAGTGATGAAAAGCACCCACCTGAGAATATCATCGATGGGTAAGAGTGGCTCTTCCTTCTGTTCTACTTCCAGGCTTAGTGTCAGAGAAGGGAGCCCTCGAGTGCTGGGGCCTGCTTTATAACAGCGGGCACTGTCAAGTGGTGTAATAAATACTTAGTCAGCTAGGTGACTTCATAGTGTCTATTTGTGGAGTCACTCTTGGAGTTAATCCAATTGTGAAGATTTAAGGTTTTTTTAATCTTTAACAATTCTTAGACTTTTGGGCAAACAGATTTAGTTGTTTTTTTTTTTTTTTTTCCAATTTATTCTCTTTTTCAGTGATGGAAATTGAACCCAGGGCCCTCCGAGGGTAGACAAGTACTCTACCAACATGCTGTTCCCACAGCTTTTTCCCTGTTTGTGCCTGTGTGTGTGTGTGTGTGTGTGTGTGTGTGTGTGTGTGTGTGTGTGTGTTTTCTAAGACAGGGTCTTACTGTGTAACCTAAATTTGTCTTAAACTCAAAATTCTCCAGTCTCAACCTCCAATGTCCAGGAGTATAGTTGTGTTCCACCATTCCTAGTTTGCAAAAAGATGTGTGTGTGTGTGTGTGTGTGTGTGTGTGTGTGTGTATACGTGTTTTAAATTTTATTTGTTTTTATTTTATTCGTACTGATGTTTTGCTTATATGTATGTATATGTACCACGTGTGTGCAATGTTCAAGGACAGAAGAGGGTGTCAGAGCTCCTAGACTGGAGTTACAGATGTGAGTTACAGTTGTGAGCTGCTGTGTAGGTGCTAGGAAACAAACCCAGGTCCTCTGCAAGAGCAGCTAGTACACTTAACTGCTGAGACATCCTCCAGCCCATAAATAGATTTTTAAAAGTGATTTACTGAGACAAAAACACAAGACTGCAGCTTCATTCTATGGGAGAATAAATTTTAATATCTGATATTGGTTTAATTCCAAATTTCTTGGAAATATATAAACATTGTTACTTCGTATATCTTGCCTGTCTGAGTAGCGTCTTTGCTGAGCTGAATGCTTCACGACTTGCCCTTCCTTTGACTCGACAACATCCTGAACTGTTTGTTGATTTAGAACACCAAATATTTGTTGAACTAATGTTGGAGAGCATGAGAGTGTAATTTATACACATGCAAACCTATATAAATGTATACACACACATACTTGTGACTGCAAATTTGTATAGGGTTTTACAGTTTGGGGAGTGATAAACACATATAAAAGCTACTTTCAACTGGGCTTGGTGTCTCATACCTCTAATCTTACAGTGCTGGGAGACTGAGGCAGAAGGAGAGGTGCCTTGAATTCAAGGCTCGCCTGGACTTTGTAGTGAGGCCCTGTCGCAAATAAAGGGGGTGGGAGGGCTGATAGGATGTCTCGGGTTAAGAGTGCTTGCTACTCTTGGAGAGGACTAGAGTTTTGTCTCAGCACCCATGTTAGATGACTCATGACCTCCTGTAACTCCAGCTCCAAGGGATCTAACATCCTTTTCTAACCTCGGTGGGCAACTGTTTGGGCATGTAGTATAAACACACAAACACATGCACATACACATAAAGTAAATAAACCTTTTTTAAAAAAGGTATTTTCAACTTCATTTTAAAGATGAACAAAAAGATTACCAAAGTTAAAACAATTTGTTAAAAAAAATGGGAGGAGGGAGGAGGGGGGTCTGTGGATAGCATGAGGAGTGAGTAGAAAATTTCTTAACAAAGAAAAATTTAAAAAAAAAAATTAAAAAAGTCACACAGATAAACAAATGACAGAATCAACTAATACGCATGCCTTCTGACTCCCAGCTAAAGGTTCTGTATGACTCAGACTTAAGGCTTGAATTGAAAACTTAGTACCATCACCTATGTATCATAGTTTTCCTTTGTTTTATATTTCCCATGAAAGTTGAGTAATTGTTATTTATACCACTGATTTGCTATAGAAAAATTAGTTACATACATACACAGAACTGCAGAGGTTTGTCTTAAGTTGTTCATTTAGAATAGAGGTCTTTCCAGAAACACTCCTCACTTTAATTGGAGATAGATAGTTTTTTTAAGGCAAGATCAACTTATCATGCCCCCCCTTTAAAGCTTTAAAAAAATATGTTATGTGTATGAGTGTTTGTCTGCATGCATGTCTGGTGCCATGGAGGCCAAAAGAGGGCATCAGATCCCCTGAAATCTGAGTTATAGGCAGTTGTGAGCTGCCGTGGGAGTGCTAGGAATTGAACCTAGGTCCTCTGAATGAGGAATCAGTGCTCTTAACTGCTGAGCCATCTCTCCAGCCCCAGAGATTTTTAATCTGTGTGGTTCTACAAATCACTAACAGGCTTTATATAGTAGATATTTAAATTATTTTCTGCTGAAAGATTGTTTTATCTAAATGGAAATAGCTACAGAGTTACTATGAGAAAGTGATGCTGTAAATTTATCCCTACAGTGAGAATTATCTTATGCCGATGGTGAATACTTTAACTTTCCTTACAAGTTAGTTGTACTGTTTTGTTTTTTTGTTTTTTGGTTTTTTTTGGTGGCTATTTGGTGTTTGTTTGTTTGTTTGTTTGTTTGAGATGGAGTCTCTTTGTAATCAGGCTGGCATAGACCCACTATGTAGCCAAAAATGACCTTGAGCTCCTGATCTTTCTGCCTCTATTCCCCCAATCCTGGGATTACACTTGGCCAGAAAGAAGGGTTAAAGTGAATGTATTTATTTCCTCTCGACCCTGCCTTTGTCCTCTGTACTTACTATGGCAGTGGAAAAGGGGAAAAGAAACTCCACAGAAAGACAACAAAGCTGGGTGTGAGATGTCTCAGCACTTGGAAGCTGAGACAGGAGTGCTTCAGTGAAGCTGGAGGCTAGCCCCAGCAATTTAGCAAAATACTGTCTCAAATTTTAAAAAATGGGGAAAAACCCCCAAAACTAGGACTATAATGGTAGATCCCTGCACAAGTGTGATCTGTGTTCTGTGCCCAATACATACTCATCCACCCCACACCCTGAGGAAGAGGTGGTCCTTTTTGCATAGTACAGTTAAATGTTATAGTTGAATCATATCAATGGAATTATACATATTGTGGTTTGAGGGTTTGTTTTTTGTTTTGTTTTTGTTTAAAGCGGGATGACACTAGCTGAAGCAATTGATTGTGTATCTCAGGCTGGCTTCAAACCCATAACAATCCTCCTGCCTTAGCCTTCCAAATGCTGAGAGTTAGAGGTATACATGTGCATCATCATGCCTATCTTATATGAGATCTATTGTTTATTGGTTTTGGTGTGTGTGTGTGTGTGTGTGTGTGTGTGTGTGTGTGTGTGTGTTTAATTTATGGGTATGGGTATTTTGCCTGTATACTCAATGTGTGCCTTGTACCCACAGAGGCCAGAAGAGGGTGTCAGATCCCCTGGCACTAAGGTTACAGATGGTTGTGAGCCACCATATAAGTACTGGGAATCCAAGTCAGGTCCTTTGTAAGAGCAGCCAGTACTCTTAACCTCTGAGCCATCCCTCCAGCCCCCTTTTTAATGTTTTTATGACCAAGTCTAAGTGTGGAGTTGACTGGCCTGGAATTCTTGGTGTAAATCTGGCTGGCCTTGAACTTGCCAGGATCCTTCCATCTTAGCATGAGCCACCACACCCTGCCTCCATGGGGACTGTTGTGATGCTTCTTTCACTTACATGATTTTAAGGTTCCTCTATCTTGTAGTACATATTACTATTTAATTTTTTATTGTCAAACAATATTCATTTATGTTGCTAGAGCACGTAGTATTTATGCATTTTAAGTAGATAGACATTCTACTGTTTCTACTTTTCTAATTTTACTTAAAAAACAAAACCCACTAGCTTAGGACCAGTGAGATGGCTCTGCAGGTAAAGACACTGCTGTACAAGCCAGATGACAGCAGGTTTGTTTACCAGAGAGAGCTCTGGTATCTGACAGACACTGAAAATGAGGCATAAACAGACATTAAAAAAACAAAAAACTGTCAACCTAGAATTCTTTCTCTGCTAAACATACTTCCAAAGTAAAGATAATTTATTTGTTACAGATAAACTTGCATGACAGAAAGTATTAAATGAAGTTTTCAGTTTGAAGAGGTATAATACCAGAAAAAAACTTTATGTAATGTACTAGAAATAAAAAGATATTTGGATAACTATTTTTCTGAGTTTTTTTGAGAGATGGCTAATCACTTAGTGATTAAAAAAACATTATATTATGGAGTTTATTACACATGTAAAGTATATTACTGTAGCACAAACATGAAGTTCTGAGTGATTTGATTATCACAAGGCTCTCTTTTCCGCTTTTTCACATGGTTGAGTATATGGTGTATATGGTGGTTTGAATGAGAATGGCCCCCATATGCTCATATCTTTGAAAACATGGTCCCCAGTTGGTGGAACTGTTTGAGAAGGATTAGGAGGTGTGGCTTTGTTGGTGGTATATCACTGGGGATAAGCTTTAAGGTTTCAAAAGCTCATGCCATTGCCTATTAGCTCTCTCTGCCTCCTGCTTGCAGATAAGGATGTAAGCTTTCATCTGCTCCAGCGCCGGGAATAACTGCCTGCTACCATGCTTTCTGACATGATTGATGCTAATAGCTAGCCCTCTAGAACTGTGAGCCCCCAATTTTTTTATAAGTTGCCTTAGTCACAGTGTTTTATCACAGCAATTGAAAAGTAACTAAGACAGTGTGTATGTGTGTGTGTGTGTGTGTGTGTGTGTGTGTGTGTGTGTGTGTGTGTACATACTCTGTATGTACATGTATATGGAGGCCTGAGGTTGATATCCAGAATCTTCCCCTATTGATTGCTCTTCCACCTTATTCTCTAAGGCAGGGTTTCCCAGTGAAATCCAGAGCTCACCAGTGATAAGGCCAGTCTTGCTAGCCAGCTTGCTCTGGGCATCCTTTGGTTCCACCTTCCTACCTGGAATTATAGGGGAGCTGCTGTGTTTACCTGGAGAGCCAAACTTTATCTTTCTTGCTTCCATGGCAAGATTTTAACTGCTGATCCATCTCCCCAGTCCAGCAA